TTACGAAGCTTCGATACTTTGTTTACGTTTTATGTGGAATTGTGGTAAGATTGTATATGGAAAATCTTGCGGAATTGATAAGGACCGCTCTTCATATTTAATTTTTTTTTTCTTGCTGTATACGAGAGTGGACGCAATATGAATAAATCTCTATGCTACAGTCAATTATTTCCATTATTCGAATTAATTCATCTTGAGAACTTTAAAAGTCTTAATAAACAGAAACTTACTCATATTGCTGATACAAAAGTATTGATATGCTTTGTTCAATTCTCTTGTTAATAAAAAACAGCAATTGTGCATGTAATGACAGTAAAAAATAGTGAAAATTTATATATGTCTGTATTGTTGCCTAAGTAGTAATAATGCATGATTATAAAATAAATATTAGAATCTACTGAAGTAATAATTACATATGTTAGAACACAAGAAAAGAATCTGAATTTTTTTATTTATTTTAGTGACCCGTATTTTTTTTTTTTTTTTTTTAATTATGTTCACAGTTTTTTTAAGTTCTTTTTAAGTTTCCCCAAACAGCAGAGATGCGTGACCTAAATTTTGTACTGAACAACACAAAATTATGTTCAAAGAAAAATTAATAAATTCTGCATTGCCTACGATTGCTAGTTAAAAAAAAAATCATGTTTTCCATTTCTCCACATCGAAAAATTATACTGGGGGGGGAGACACCACTTCATTTGGCATTTGATGTTTTATATCAATAAAAATCCCATGGTTTTAACCATTGATTCTAATTTTAATCCTTCTTCATTGTTAGCTTTTAAGGAAATTTGCTTCTTATTTGCATTTTAGTCTCTTTCTGTCAATAGTGGTATTAAGGATTTGGTTTTTATCATTTAACCATACTCTCCAGTTTCTTTCTGTTGCTTCTCTTTCCTTACACCCAGTGTGCATGCCGTGCTGAATGCATTATTTCAGATTCAAAATGTGTAGACAGAAAACTGTACCAGAACGACAAAAGTGGTAATTTAACAACATTGGCATCAATTATCCCCTCCCTAAGACAACCACTTCCGTAGAAATATTTTTATAGCAGCTGTGTCTGGCTGTCTTACATATGGTTCACTGTATTTTGTGATTTAAAATTTATTAGCTCGTTATAATACTGATGCAATTTAAAGTTTTTTCTTAGTTAGTTCAAACATCCCATGTTATGGATCAAAAAGTAGTATCTTATGATTATTAGTCATATTATTAAAAATTTCAAAATGGCTTTTGGAAATTTTCTTCCTTACGCAATGATTTGCAGTTTGGCAAAAAATCTTTCACAAGTTGGTCTTACTATGGGCAAGTATTGAATTTTTTTTTCCGAAACGATAACCAGTAATTTTGTTTGTTTAGAGTTAAAAATCATTTCTATGGTATATGTAAATCTTTTTAGTTTTTAATATATTTCAAAAGTTCCTTTTCTTATGCCATAAGGCATGTGTAAAATAAGCTTATTTCCTTGTATTATTATTATTAAACCATTCAGAAGAAGCCTTTCTGATAATTAATCACTGAAACTTACGCCGTACCTTTCTGTTAATTAGAAAATAATTTTGGATAATAAAATAAATGTATTAGAAAAGTATTATATTATTAAAATATTTTTAAAAAATATATTAAATTAATGTATTAGAAATCTCTGTAATTTAAAGCAAGCTTTCGTTCTTCAACTACATGTCCATTTCCGATACCCAAAGGCTAATTCCATCATAATAACTTATCTTTTACCCCGGTCATTATTCAGTGAAACCTTTCTATTTGAAAATTCTGTGATTCAGATATTCAAATTAAATACATTAGGCAATTTGTGTTTATTATCTACATTTGTTTCAATAATAATGTTTTTGTTGGCATTAATTTCTCCAAGTAATTTAAACATGAGGTTGTTTAAGGCCATTTTTTATCTATTCATTTATTGAAATATTTACATTTATTACTTCTTATATATTAATATTTACATTTATTACTTCCCCCCCATTAGATAATCCAAGAATTTTATATACTTATAATTTATGGTATAGGCTTGTATATATGCAATATGAATTTTTTTTTTTAATTTTCCAGAAGAAAAAAATTCTTATCTTCTACTTGTTATCTCATTATCGGATTGTTTTATAAGGTATTTCTCCTGCCTTCGTAGCATGCCTCGGCACATATTCGGGAGGTCCATGGTTCTAGTCGCGGAGAGGGCATTGCTCGTTTTTCACGTCTCTCAGCTTCCAAAAAAATCCTAATGTCTCTACAATGTCTTCTTCAAAATAAACAAATAATCTGATGGAATGAAAATATTTTGGTCATTAAAACTTTTTAATCACTGCTGTTTACATCTACATTTCTTTTTTCACATAATTTGAAGTTTTCAAGTAGTTTGAAGGTTTTCAAACTAAGTTTCAGAGAAATTTTAGATATCGTGCAACTCCTCTGGGGCATCTTCAAGTTAAAATCAAAATTTAAAACTATTTTTAATATCACTACTGGACATGCAATAGAATAAAAATATTTCTTTAAGTTTTTGTTACAAAAAATATTAAGCAGATCTGTTTTTATGATTAACATTATAATGAAATAATGATTTTCTTTTCACTTTCTGCATAAAATGCACAAATTTTGTATTTCAATTCTTTTTTAACATTTTTTTTTTTTTTTTTTTTTTTTTTTGAGGATGGAAATGCTTCTCTCTAAAAAATTACAATTTTAGAGTTTTTTCTGAATTTACAGATTTGAAGACAGTTGGATAGAAAAGCCACAATTTTTTAAATGGAGGAATAAATACAGCCCTGGCTTTTGTTATGTTTTATGCATTTAATAAATTTCCGCCCGACTGTTTATTAATTCTACCTAACACAATTAATCGATACTTGTTTCTAATATAGAATTTTAGCATCAATTCTACATAATAACATGAGTAATCTTTTTTTAATTGAATTTTATCAATATTAACAAAATACTTTGGCACTATGAACTGAGAATTTTTTCCTTGACTTTTATCTTTCAATACTTTAGGAACTGGTCATTGATTTACATCTATAATAAAAGAAATAAATGCTTGTATGAGTTTTAACATATTGTTAAAAATGCAATAAACTTCAGCTCCTTTGTTGCATGAATAATGTTAAACTTCCCTGTTAAGTATTTTTTTAGCATCTTCTATGTAACAGTATAGACTCCATGATTATTCCTTAAAATTGGAAGTATCAGAAATAGATGTAAATATGTATTGTCTTCTGCATTAACTTACAAAAATAAAAGTGTGAATATCTGAATGGAATTATATAGAAAGAGCTACAGGACGCTATGTTGTCATGATGGTCATTCCACTATACAGGAAATATCAAATCAAACAATAAGTGCAGGAAAAGATTCAGTAAGAGTATATACTCTCTTCTGAAACAATACATTTGGCTGTAGTTGTTCCATATGATATTCCTATACAACATCCCAAAATCTTGGTAAATAACTTTCTAAACCAAGATTACAGTGTAAAAAAAGTAGTGGAAAAATGTTTATAGTCATGTAACTGGGCTACCATACATAAAAATTAAGCAGTGTTACAAGTGTTTTTTATCTTAACTGCCTGTTACAACAAAACCAAATAACAAGCTATGAGAAAGAACATGTAGTGTCAGTACAGCTGGATGATCCCTTTTACAGAGTTGCTAATTTGAAAACAAGTTAACCTGTAAAACTACCCTTCATACTGGTTTGCTTAAGATTCACTTGGTAAAAAATATGCCATTAAAGTCTGTACCAATCAATCAATAAACTTTGTTACAAGCAAGTTTTTGTTTGCAGGATGCTGTTCATAATTGGCTTTCTTTTGGTGGTATAGCAACAGCGAAGGGAGAAAGATTCCGGGTAATTTAAATTCAACTAACATAGCAAATTCCATTCTTCTGTAACTTTATAATTTGATACACCTTTAGGTTGATCTTTACAATATGGTTGGTAGTTGGCGAGGAGGCGATAAAGGTTACTACCTGGCACTTTGGTAATAATGTGAGCAGTACTCAGTTCTGATTATGCATTATTTTGTGTGAGAGATCATGGGATATGTCATGTGATATTAATAGACGAATTACGGTTCTTTAATCGGAAAAGGGGGGAAATCGGGAAAAAATCTGGAAATTTTGTATTTGGCTTTATTCTGTGTTGTGTGAAACAGTGTTCGTGAATTTTTGGATCCCATGGCCGTAACTAAAGTGAATTCGAAATGGGTATTTATGTATGTATTAATTTAATGTATGTGCTCATTTATATTTTTAAGTAGTGTTTTTGAATTTAATTATATTTTAATTAATTAATGATAGCTATTTTGTGAATTTTATGTTTGTAGGAATTTGGTATACGTTTAGTTGAAGTAAACGTTGCATGGAAATAATTTAAATATCTGACACTAGGTATTTGTAATGGTTGCGGTATGATGAATTCGTTGGTGACGTGTATAATGTAATGATGATTTAGAGGTAAAAGTTTTTGGATATTTTATTTATTTATATGTGAAAATGTTTCATTACTTTTTTGCGATCAGGTAATTTCATATATGTTCTTTTTACCGGGTTTAAAGATTGAGAAAATTGTCAATGTATTTTCGTGAATTTTTTCTAATTTATGAGAAAAAAGCATTGTACATGGATATAGTGAAGAGTGTGCGCAATGCCATTTTGTTGCAATTCTAGGATGTTTTTTTAAGTAAAATAAGTCAACGTGTACATGGTTTAGTGATATTTTAATTAAATGATAGTTATTTTGTGAATTTTATGTTTGTAGGAATTTGGTATACGTTTAAGTTGAAGTAAACATGCATGGAAATAATTTAAATATTTGATACTAAGTATTTGTAAATGCTTGCGGTATGAATCGTTGGTGATGTGTATAATGTAATAGATGATTTAGAGGTAAAAGTTTTTGGATATTTTTATTTATTTTATATGTGGAAATGTTTCATATTTGGAAAGGGTAAATACTTTTTCGTGATCAGGTAATTTCATATATGTTCTTTTTACCGGGTTTAAAGATTGAGAAAATTGTCATGTATTTTCGTGAAATTTTTCTAATTTATGAGAAAAAGGCAGTGTACATGGATATAGTGAAGAGTGTGCGCAATGCCATTTTTTGTGCAATTCTGGGATGTTTTTTTAAGTAAAAATAAGTCGGCGTGTACATGGTTTATGTGTATGGTTATTTTGAAAAACGCGTAAGCAGTATGGTATTGGTGCACTTTTTCCCAAATTGCAGTGAATATTTGTCATGATTTAAGCAGTTTTGTTAGATAAAAATTTCTAGCATAAGTGTAATTCGGCTAGTAGATTGTTGGAAGAAGTGTTCAGTAGATAAAAAGAAAATGAAACATGTCTTTACTTCGTGAAGACAAATGGCGGCGGGAAAAAAAAAAATAGAGGGTTGCGTGTAGGAGAGTTGGTCGCCAAATTTTCGCCAAAAAATGGCCAAGTTTACCGTAATGTAAAGATCAACCCAGCTTTATTTTTCAGAATTTTATTCGTACCACTATTTCATCCATTGCAGACAAATTCCACAAGTGCATATTTTAAAATTCATTTCACATTTAAAAAGTATGATTTGTTGATAAATGATTTGTTATAAAAATAAAAATGAGTTATAAAAATCATTGTAACTTGGATAAATACACACACACACAAAAAAAAGGGGGAAAAACATAAAAAATGGTGATGCTGCTTATTAAAAACTGAAGAATTGTTATATGCACATACACATGGTTGACACAGTTTGGTGCATCCTGTGAAATTTGTTATGGTAATATGGTAGCAAAAAAAATTTTTTTTTTTTTTTAGTAAAATTATTAAGGTTTTGATGGCTATGCTAAGTTACACAAAACAAGGTAACTACAGTAAGAGCTATGTACCTTAGGTAAAAGGATGCCTTTTGAGAAGGTATTTCTATGAGAAATTGACTTGTATTCACATAATGCATAAAAGGAAAACAGGAAATCAGCTATCCCATTCACCAGTATTTGTACCTGGATCAAACATTTAATGTTCAGCTATCTTATCTGCTAGCCTACTGGTACCAGTCAAAATAGACAGTAATGTAATATTATACAAGCTAAGTAGCATTGACTTATACATCACTAAAGAAATAAATACACTTCAGAAAACCTGTTTTAATTATAAGATTATTTTAAAAAACGTTGCTCATTATAAAACTAAAGAATGGATTTTCTTTACACACTGACTGTTAAATTATTATATTTCAAATCAACAGACTGCATTTATACAATAAGACAGGATGAAAAATACAGTAGTCATTGAGGCAATTGTTGAGTTTCTGAAGAAACAATAAAAATTTTCAAATCTATCATAGTATACCCTGTTTAATGTTTAATATAGTATGGAAGGTTTTGTAAAGCATCAGCTATTTAAAAAAAAAAAAAAAAAAAAAAAAGCATGCAATAGCTGTCAATGAAACCAAATAAAAATCAAACAGAGTTCTATTACACGTTATGCAACAAAATTAATGAATATGAATGTCTATAAACATTTTTTTCTGTTTTTTAACTTGGACCAGATCTGGAAACATCAACCAGATCTTAGGCAATAAAATTAATAAAAATTTATGTTGATAAATACTTAAGAACAAAATGGCCAAACTTTCAACTAGATAACCAAATAAAGTGTTTGCGTTCTAGAGGATTTTATTTACTTCACATACATACATACTACATTATCTTTACATTTACTTTCATAACTCGTATGATATATAACATACTTTGTAACATACTCTTATCATCGAATGGTTATGATTTTCTATAATAATAAGAAAATTTTTTTAACAGTTTCTACTTCGTGTCTGCAAAGTATTCCTTTAAATTGCAAGGTTTCGCGATATTAATTTTCCTTCTGACAAAGTTTATACACGAATCCAAACATTAAAACCCTTGTAATCGATAAACAACGGCCATTTCATTATCGGTGGCAAAAAGCTGCCTATCGATAGTAAAAAGGACAGTTTGGGCCATACGAAAAAGCGGCTCCAGAGCACCCAAAATCGGCTTGGTTACCACAATTGGTGCGCTTATTAGTCTCTTAAACCCGAATTTCGCCAACTCTCATGTGCACCGTATACTAGGATTAAGCTGGAATGGTAATACTTTGCAGACACGAAGTAGAAACTGTTAAAAAAATTTGCTTATTACTATAGAAAATCATAACCATTCGATGATAAGAGTATGTAATGTATCATACGAGTTATGAAAGTAAATGTAAAGATAATGTATGTATGTATGTGAAGTAAATAAAATCCTC